CTCAAATCGGACGGGATGAGGTGCATTCATCGTGATATGGCCGTAGCCATTAATCATCTTAAATTGTGAAACTTGAATCGGTTCAACCCTTGTTTCCCTCTGAAATTTCTGAACTGCATTGAAAAATAAATGTAAAATTGAGTACGTATAAGTTACAATCGACTTGTTTTTGTTTATTATCAATTGATTTATAAATTATACTCATACAAGAATACGCTATTCAATGAATAATTTATTGACAATAATTGAAAGAATCTATGATATTTTGCAAACTTAACCACCTCTCAATCTCAATACTAAATGCACAGTTGAATCCTTTTGAAGATTGTAATCACCAATAGTTCTTCCATCTTCCAATTGCTTACCGGCATAAATCAATCGTTGTTGATCTGAAGGAATACCTTCCTTATCAAATATCTTTTGTTTCATATTCTCAACAGTATCATTCGATTCCATTTCAATAGTGATTGTCTTTCCAGTTAAAGTTTTTACAAAAAGTTGCATTCCTCCTCTTAATCTCAACACCAAATGAAGAGTTGAATCTTTTTGAATGTTGTAATCATTAATAGTTCTGCCATCTTCCAATTGTTTCCCAGCAAAGATGAGTCTTTGTTGATCTGGTGAAATTCCTTCCTTATCTTGTACTTTTCTTTTCACGTTTTCAATTGAATCATTAGATTCAACCTCCAAAGTGATAGTTCTTCCAGTGAGTGTCTTGACAAATAATTGCATTGTGTTTGTTGTCTTGTTTTTCTTATTGTTTTTCTTGAATTCAAAACAGTTCCTTGCTTTTTATATTGTTTTGAGATGTATATATTTTTAGAAAGTAGTTCTTCTGCAAAGAAATTCTTTCAATGAACCGATTTTTGTTTCTGGACACAAATTTGGTTCATGTTTAGTAAGTATTGCTTAAGCTGTACATGCAATAATGAATTTTAACTTGTTGTTCGTGAATTGAATGCAATTTGACTCTTAATGGTTTTGAATTTAAAAGGTGATTATTGGAAAAATTTAATACTTGTAAAATGGTTTGGGTACAGCTATTCATCACTCAAAATCAATGTTTAACTCTATGAATCGATATACCGTAGCCATTTATTGCCTTAATACAATGAATAATAAATAAATTGAAAAAATGAAGGAATAAGTTAAAGAGTTCAAGTAAATAAGATTTTGTTGTTTGTCTTTCAATTGTTAATTTAGACGGGAAGCCTGCCAGGAATATGGCGACTATCCCGCTACAGTCTTTGACTGTATGAACAGTGAAGGCAAGAGTTCTGGACGAATCTTGTTGTGTTCAAATAACAGGTTGTTGAAGAAATTGAAAAGGTTGATCAACCTCAAATTTATTGAACATTAGACATGTGAATTGCTTGATCCAAATTTTGGTTTCTCATATTCTGATCAATTCTAAATTGAAACTTCATCTATTTCAAAACAAATTATTTTATTTACAATTTACTGAATTATTTACAAGTTGTAATTTACATCTTTTTCGATTTGGTAATCTTCTTAGTTGTGGTGTTCGATTGTTGTTTAGCTCTCTTTTCAATTGAATTTTTCGAAGATCTTTTCACTGAAATTTGTTTACCATTTAAATTTGCATGATGATAATCAATATTATTACGATGTCTAGTTCCACTTATAATATTAGAAGTATCAATATCAAATAATGGTAATCTTTTAGATAAATCAATTGGTTTAGATCTTGTCCATTGTGTTTTAGTTGGAATTCTATCTTCGGAAGAATTTGAAGAATTTGATGAAGCATTTCTAGCTGGAAATAAATAACTGTTGATCGGATGATGAAATTTCCCCAACAAAACAAAATAACAATAAGAAAATGGTCTCAACAAGAAGAAATATGTATAATTCCTCCAATAACACTTCACAATTTATTTCCGAAATTTCTCTGGATAATATTGTGGGTGGAACAAGAAAAAGAAATTTAATTGATTACAAAACATTGAATTCTATTGGAAGTGAAACAAGCAAAACTTCCAAATCTCAATCACATAATACTTTAGAAATGAGAAACAAACAATTCAAAAAGTGGTAATCTCCATTTACTCAAAATGTTGTAAACCTAGGCAAATCATGT